AGGGCCGGTCCGCTGATTCTGCTCATTAGGATCATTCTCCAAATGACGGGAAGCATGACACAACTGGTGAGAACACCGGTGTGGGAACCTCACAAACTCTCAGAAAGTAATACGTGATGATGTCATCAGGGTTGTTTTTTTTCTTGGCCGAGGCGGGGACAGGAAGTCAGCATTACAAAATCAGGGTGTTTAGTTTAGAATGACAGAGCTGGGGTTTTTTCACCAGGCAGGGTCTGATGAAACAGTCTACAGAGTTGCATTATGGGAAGTGAAGGGACCATGACTAATGTACTGAGTCCTGTCTGTGGACTCAATGGGACAAAACGCAACCAAAGGTTACCGTTTTCAACAGAAATGTTAGAAAAAGTTAGAAATGTAAACGGAACCTCAATCACATTGCAGTCATTTTTACCGTTTGTAGTTTTAGTTTTGTTTAGGGCAACCGTGGTGGTTGACCCATCAAAAGTTGACGTAGCCTCTTGACAGAGTTGGGGATTAATGATTAAAGTCAGAAGAGTCCGCCTCAGTCCTCATGGCCGCTCTTATTTATTCAGCGTTCTGCCTCTTTACAGAGACAGAGAGATTTCCACTGAGTTATTTGTCGCTGCAGACAGAGGAGGAAGGGCATAGCGGTTGTTACTTCTTGTTCTAGTCCACCACTCCTGGGGTCTCAGCCACGGTGAGCGGTCTCTTTCTCTCTCTCTACACACACACACACACACACACACACACACACACACACACACACACACACACACACACACACACACACACACACCCTTCGTCTTGCAGCAGAAATCAATTTAGCAAAAACAATAAAGAAATAATTTATAAGGGCAGACTCTGCCAAATTAGCTGTGGGACGCACTTAACTGCTAAAGCCGTATGAATAAGAGCTGCGGGGCGAGCACCACGACCGTGTCACTCTCAGAGAAATGTGATGCTGCTGAGTTTACTGACATGCACACACACACACACACACACATGCACACACACACACACACACACACACACACACACACACACACACACACGCACACACACACAACCAGCACCTACAGTCGTAATACACACAGTCAGAGATCTCCCAGAGCTCCAAAACATGCAGAAATGGCTCACGCTAGTGCCCGTACAGTCCACACGGTCCAGGCAAACACGCATGACTTGTGTGTGGATTTACAAAAGCACAATCTCGAGGGCCAACTCGAAAGTGCCACCACTGCAGTTCCTCTAGTGTCCACTAGGGGCGGGCACCAAAACTGAGTCGATCTCCGTATAGAGTAAGATGTTCACTCACCTGTTAAATAATATTAGGCTTAAAGTGAGGGGCATGGCCTCTTTGAGTGACAAGTGGGAGCTGCTAGCTGGCTGCTAGGTGTCACCTCAGCTAATTCAGAAACTGAACAGGAAGAAGGTCTTACAGTAACTAGCTTAAAGGAGGCTAATCACCACCTGACACACCGGGGTCGGACATATTTGTGTCAGTAAATCGATTCTCCTCTGATGCCTGTATTCTGGGTCAGGACAGTAGTTAAATAACCTAATCGAGCTGAAACTGTTACTCCACTTGTACATATAAACATACTATATGGTGGCTAGCTAACTGTTGGCCGCAGGCTCGGCCTGTAAGTTTGAATATTTAGCATTTGCTAACACCTAGTTCCTGAGCTCTGGCCTCTCACCCAAATATGGTCACTTCTGGCTCCAGAAAAACCAACGCAGTTGCAGCCAAAATGCCAAACTGGAGGCCTCAAAAAAGCCAGTTGACTAACCAGTTGTGTGCGTCATTAAAGGTCCATTATTTACTCGGTTTATGGGATTTACAGTTCAGTCCTTCCTGAGCGCCACATTCATTTTTCATGTGTATTCTGTGGTTACTTGTTACAGATTTAGAGACCCTCTTATTGTCCGCAACACAAAGGAGAGCTCTCACATTACACACTATCAGTGTGAGAGCTGTGTGTGTGTGTGAGTGTGTGTTTCTGTGCTTGTGTTTCTGTGTGTGTGTGTGTGTGTGTGTTTCTGTGTGTGTGTGGCAGATGGGACACATGTGTGGTCTGTGGTGGCAGGCTGGCTGGAGCCTGAGGTTGGTGGTGGCTTCATCTGGGACGGAGGAGGAGGAGGAGGTGGAGGAGGAGGAGTGGGGGAGTCTGAAGACAGCAACACACACACACACACACACACAAACTTACACACACCTCGTTTCCCATTAATAAATCACCACAGTGTGTTTCACCACAGCTCTTCTCCCGGTGTCTCTCGGGGTGGGGACGTGTGTGTGTGTGTGTGTGTGTGTGTGTTGGTGGGGGGGGGGGGGTTACAACACGGGCGTTATGAGGGAAAAACTTTTATTTTTAGTCTTCACTGGGAGTGTTGGAGGAGCACAGGAATGTGTTAATGGTGCCACCACAGCTTCCGCCCAGTCTTCCCATCAGCCTTTAATACGCAGCTCTGAACGGGGAGGAGAGGGGAAAGGGGGCGGGGCCACAGAAGGACCCGTAGGAGTCGTGTCGAAACGCTGAACCGGAAGTTTCTGAGCTGGCCTGTTTCTGATTTACGGCAGATGGTATAGACTCTATCTATAGACTGTAGACTGGATGTGGTGAATGATAGAGCTTCAGGATGAGCTGGTTCGGATGCAACATGCCAAGTGTATATTTAAGCAAACTGTTTGATTTCTGTGTTTGACCTTTGAACTGTGGGTTCTCACGATACCCAAATTTTAAACTTTAATACAAAATTAATACAAATCGAGCAATATTGAAAAAAGTCTCAATACCAGGGCAACAAAAATAGAAGTCGTAGACGTCAAATATAGTATCGTTTTTTGTTTTCAGTGTTCAAATATTGCAGAATAATTCCTGCACACTGACACAAATATGTTACACTGCAAGTTGCAGTTTCAGCATATTTTATGGCCTTGCTGTCAATCACTCTTAAACCTGACGTCTGTCCCAAATGAACTTTTACCAAATATGACCTACAAAAAGCAGTCAGTCGATGTAGTGTAAGTACAGAGCTGTGTTATGAGGGAGATACCGGAGTGCTCAAGTTGTAGTTTGCAGTGTGCAACCTGTTTTTATTCCTGAAGTTTTGTGGCTGTGTGCAGACCCTCCAACCCTCCTATGTGGTGAGGTTAAGAGCGACACATCAAGAGAGTGTTAGAAAAGAGTTGTTGGAGTAAATGTCTGAGCTCTCTGCTACTTAAAATCAATAACAGATAAGTTTTTATCTTTACAGCCGAGGATAAGAAATACTCAGACAGGCAGAGAGACGGGGTGTGTGTGTGTGTGTGTGTGTGTGTGTGTGTGTGTGTGTGTGTGTGTGTGTGTGTGTGTGTGTGTGTGTGTGTGTCTTTTAGAGTGGGTGGGTTACAGTAATGACAGAGACCGACTCGTCACTGTGTGTGTGTCCTGCATCGATCTCCCCCAGCCCTCCTGCAGCCTCTCTACCCCCCCCCCTCCCATTCTTAAACTAATAGGGCATTTCCTCCAGTGCCACACCACCCAGCTACACTGTTTACTCTTCACTCTGCTGGGGCACGCACAGACACACAAACACATGTACACACACAAACACACCATGTGCACACACACAACCAGATCAAACAGAGCAGAACGCACTCACACCAAACTGATTAAAACAAAGATTTAATAAATGTTTGATAACGACAGGTATCATGAAACTATGTGAGAAAGTCACAGCTAAAATATTTACTGAAATGAGTCTAAATGGAGACTCAGCGCCACTGGCTAAGAGCGCAATCACACTCGACCTGTTGCCCCTCCCTCAGACAAATCGGGCCTGAGCACGGTCTGCTTACGTCATCACATCATAATACGACACCTTGTTTATAAGTAGCGCGGCGTCAGAGTCAGCACAGCGGAGAACAACCCAGAGAACATGACAGATACTTTACAGGCTTTGGGGTTTATTTTGAGTCATTTTGGTCAGATACGTCCTTCTGATTTCTCAGCTATGCACGGCGTCATGTCCACGTTTTGTACCCGTTCTTGTGCTTGTGCAAGAGCAACTGTACTGTGCCAAAGCCGCCCCCCTTTTCTTACTGTGCAAAGGAAATGACAGAGCGATGTGTACCGATGGCCCTGTGTGAGTGTGCTCTTAGTCTGGACTAAAAACTAATCAAAATGCAAAGACTTAAATGTGATTAATGTCAACAAAAACACTCTGAATATGACTGAGATTAAAACTAAATTAAAATGTCCTGTCAGGATTAACATTGTTTGAATGCAGGAGTATTTCTGCTGGTTGGTTTGGACATCTTTGGAAGTCTGATCTTCAGGTGATCGACTTAAACCGCTCCAAAGGTAACAAAAAGGCACATCTCAGGTCCACATAGTTTAATGATTGATTCAGTTTATTACCTTTAGTTCCATCTGCACAAAACCACATGTGACAAAGTGTAAAAATGAAAGATGGACGTTTGGGGATTTGAGTTTTTCTTCACTCGGATGATTTGACTCTCGAGGATGTTGAAGCCAAGAAAAGCTCTGGCGTTGAGCCTCCTTGTAAATATTTTAATTATTTCACCTTTGGTGTGCAGATGTCTTCTACAAAAACTAATCCTTTAAAGATAAGTTTCAGATTTGACAATGCACCACCCCACCATCTCTGGAAATGATCAAGAAATTTGACAAAAACAAGATCCTAACAAAATGTAAATAAAACACATTTTCATCCAGCGGACACACCTTCAGTATGTCTGTGGAAAATAAACTTCAGTATGCAAACTCAAATCAAATCATGTTGGTGAAACAGCATTTTCAGGATGGTGGTAAATCAGGAAGAGGTGTTTACAATCCGTTACAGCAGATGTAAATATTGTGAGGTGAGGTGGCGTGTGCAGGAAATCTGTTTCTAATGCCTGAACCGGAGATGCATTTTAATGCCAGGTGTAAATATAACCTTCCATCTGGACGGGGAGAGATACGAGTTGCATGTAAGCAGCAGCTGTAAACACTCTGATGTCTGCTTCTTACCTGTGTGTCCTGTGGCAGGTGGAGGACGGTGTGCAGCCTCTCCGTGTGATGGTGTCGGGACTCCTCCTCGTACGCCAGGTCTCTGTCGGCCTGCGGCAGCGCCAGGAACCTCCGGATGGTGCACAGGTTCTCCCACAGAGTGCGGTTCTCCGGGCTGGGGTTCTCCTTCCACCGGAGCAGCTCGCACAGCCAGCCCTGAGGAGGAGGCGCAGAGAGAGCAGGTGGAGGTCAGAGACAGAGAGAGGAGGTGGAGGTCAGAGACAGAGGTGGAGGTCAGAGACAGAGGAGGAGGTGGAGGTCAGAGACAGAGGTGGAGGTCAGAGACAGAGGTGGAGGTCAGAGACAGAGGAGGAGGTGGAGGTTAGAGACAGAGGAGGAGGTGGAGGTCAGAGATAGAGGTGGAGGTTAGAGACAGAGGAGGAGGTGGAGGTCAGAGACAGAGAGAGGAGGTGGAGGTCAGAGACAGAGAGAGGAGTGGAGGTCAGAGATAGAGGTGGAGGTTAGAGACAGAGGAGGAGGTGGAGGTCAGAGACAGAGAGAGGAGGTGGAGGTCAGAGACAGAGGTGGAGGTCAGAGACAGAGAGAGGAGGTGGAGGTCAGAGATAGAGGTGGAGGTTAGAGACAGAGGAGGAGGTGGAGGTCAGAGACAGAGAGAGGAGGTGGAGGTCAGAGACAGAGGTGGAGGTCAGAGACAGAGGAGGACGTGGAGGTTAGAGACAGAGGAGGAGGTGGAGGTCAGAGACAGAGGAGGACGTGGAGGTTAGAGACAGAGGAGGACGTGGAGGTTAGAGACAGAGGTGGAGGTCAGAGACAGAGGAGGACGTGGAGGTTAGAGACAGAGGAGGACGTGGAGGTCAGAGACAGAGGAGGACGTGGAGGTTAGAGACAGAGGAGGAGGTGGAGGTCAGAGACAGAGGAGGACGTGGAGGTTAGAGACAGAGGAGGAGGTCAGAGACAGAGGAGGAGGTGGAGGTCAGAGACAGAGGTGGAGGTCAGAGACAGAGGTGGAGGAGGAGGACAGAGACAGAGGTGGAGGTGGAGGTCAGAGACAGAGAGAGGAGGTGGAGTAAGGCGTTGCTGGAGGAATATGACCATATTCGGGGAAATGTGCTTCTTTGAGTTCTTGCTGAGAAGCTTGAAACCTCTCTGAAGTTGGTGAAGCTCATCATATAAGGCTAAAACATGTTAGCTTAGCTAAGCTTAGCTTGGCACAGAAAATATTCAGTTTACTGTCACAGAAGAGGAAAGTATGGGAGCCCTAAGAGGACATTGCTTTGAGCTGAAATGCATCAGTTGTTGATCGGTACGCTGCTGCTCTGCCCGGATAATAAAAGGTTAAAGGACACTAAATGTGCTGACTTTTCTCTTGTCTGTTTTGGAACCTTTTAGAGGAATATCTTCAGCTGTGGAGCACAAGAATCAACACCTCCCGAGTGCAGATGTGTTAAGAACCATGAGACCAGTTAAAGTATAAACAGATAAATTAAAACGGGAACACACCGTGACAGACGAAGGGAACTGTGAGCGTTTAGTGAAATAAAGACGAGTGAGCAGACTTAAATACAAAAAGTTGAGAGAAAGTGTTCAGAGTGTGAGAGAGGTAAATGTAGGACATGAAGATGGGGCGGTGGGGGGGAGGAGGAGAGATGGAGAAGATTGAATTATGTCTGCTAGACTGGTTCGGTTTGTGACACCAGCTGTTGTGTTCAGCCGTGCACCTCGGGCAGCAGCGCCGCTAATAGCCTGATCATCTCCCTCTCTCTCCACTCGCTCTCTGTCCTCGTGGCCAGCTGCAGCAGATGGGTGCAGTGAGCCGTGACCCTCAGCCACCCCCAGACCCACCCACCTGGGGGACCTCGCCAACCACACGCTCACACATACACACACACACACACACACACACAAGCGTGCAAATACTGTAAAGATGATGCACACATCCATACATACAACCTTTCTCACGCTCACACCTGTAAAGAGTTTCTGTAACGTCGTCTCAGCTCTCCTCGTCTTCGTCTAAAGGGTTGAATGCACGCTTCTCTTCTTTTTGATTTGAGAGCAACTCCACTGTTTCTCCATTGGCTGCTGACTCCAACGCCCCAAACTTTTGAAGCTTTACGAGCTTTTCAAATTTCTTTTTTTATAAATATTTTTAAGAGAAGCAACGATTGGTAAAATCAGGACTCCTCTTGGTACCAGACATTTTCTCTCATGTCTGACAAGAAAAATAAGTCAGAGTTTGTCTCGCAGGTGACTTCATCTGCCCACTAAAAAAACCTCGTCTCGGAATCAGAATCATGCAGAATTATTTGCTGCTGTGCCATGTCTGTCGATACCGATGTTGAACTGATTCACCCCTAATATTTTTATCAAGCAGAGACGGTTAAATTGTCTTTACATGCCTGACCGTTGGATTAAAGATTTTGGTTCTCATGCTTCCCTCACCTGGCTCTTGTTGGCAGCCACCTTTGCGAACAGCGCCTGGGACACTTTGGCTCTCTTCATCTCCTGCTGGATCTCGTCGTAGATCCCCGATGTGATGTTGACCAGCGAGTCCAGCTTCATGGGGAGGTCGGGAGTCGGCCCGGTCGGCTTCGGCTGCAGGAGGAGAACATGATGTAATGACCAGCAGTGAGTGAGTACAGAATGAAGTCCTTTGAGTGTTTTCATGGAGAAGCTATCAGATAAGTTTGTGCGACAGGAAATGTCATAAAGCCACAACATCTTTCACTGAGTGCTTCAGATTTATCCACAAAGCATCTTTGTCGTGTGTTTACATGTGAGGACGGAGGTTATCAGCTGACGATCAGGCCGAGCCGTGCAGCGCTCACATCTGCAGCGCAAGTCTCCACATGACTTTTGTTTACAGATCAAAGTCATTAAGTCTTCCTCTTTTGTCTTTCTTTGTTGTTTCTGTTTGAGCGGACATGTACTGGCTCTCGGAGAGCTTGTGTACACACGTTTGAAGTCGTCCACGAGACAAGTACGGACCAGCTAGCTGACATTCCCTCAGTGTAAACGATGCTGAGATAATTCCACATAGACATAATAAGAACAGCACACAGATTCTGACATCACAGAGAAACCCTTATCAGTGATGTCGCTGAATTATTCTCCGCAGATGGAAACAAATGCTGCATAATGTCCTTCATGTTTACAATATGCTGCTCGGAAACGTTGAAGCTGTTTTCCATTATAAACTGAATTTGTTTAAGATTTTTAAAAAAAGGAAACATGACGTGCTGCAACGAAGCTTTTTTCGAGGGCAGCTTTGAGATCTCAGATGACTCACCGAGTTGGAGATCTTCGTCTTGTTCTTCCAGATGGAGGCCCAGGTATCGGGGGTTAGCTGGTCATCCAAGCCCCTCTCCCACACTTTCTATGCACACACACACATACACACACACAGCATGATCCAATGTTTGCATCATCTAAATATCACTCATTTATTATTTGTGCAGTGGTTTGATTGCTCCTCCTAAAAGCAGACATTTTGAAAATTACAGAGTAGAAAGGACCCTGATGAAGGCGCACAAGTCAAAACTTTGTCGGTCTAATGAAGTTGATCTTTATACTACGAGTGTTTCTGGAGCTGTTTGACCTCTTCAAGCCTCTCACTCAGCTGGTCAAATCGCAGATTTAGAAATGTGTAAAAGACAGAAAGCAGAAATAAAGTACAAACACGTCCTTATCATTCATTCAAAGCCACTGAGGGGAACTTTTGGTTTGCGTCCATTTTGATGACCCATGTGGACAGAGTAGAGTCTGACTGATTCTGTCCGGTACATGTGAAGGTCATGTTTTCTGACAGAAGTCTCATCCTGCCGTCTTTTTACAGTCGGACGCATCACTCACTGTGAATCTTTGGAATATGAAAAGTCGTCTATCGTGCTGTGAATCCTTCGGTCTGACACCTAAACATTTAAAATAATAACTCTAAAGAGATGCTCAATTTTGTCCCTGATGGTCTTGTTTGCTTCTTTAGCTCATATGGAGGCATCAGGCTTCATATCAGTTATTTCATTACCAGCTGAAAACTACGGTGGCCTGTAGGTGCAAAGTCTCAGAAACTGCTGCAAATAGAGAAACTCTGCCAGATCAGCCTTTTCTACAGGAGCACATACTCCAAGCCTGTAGGGGGCGCTGTGTGCTAGTTTATGTATTTATCCTTATTTCAGTTATTTCTTTAACCAGCTGAAAACTCCTCACAGGAGCTTTTGACCACCTCTGGAAAACCCCCACGGTATAAATGCTGTAGACTAACTTGTGAGAGGCGTGGAGTTCCCGGGCTGGACGAGTTGGATGCAGGGAGGCCGACGGTCGGGTTCATGGTGCGCTCTCTCTCTTCCTGGTAGATTCGATCTCTCTCGCTCTCGGGCAGGTTCAGGAAGTTCTGCATCGCTTTCAGGTTGACCAGCAGAGACTGAGAGGCCGTGCGAGGGTCTTCCTCTTTACGTAAGATCTCTGACAGCAAACCCTGGACCATGAATACAGACATAATTAGTGAGTCTGCAGGAAGACTAAAGCTTCCCTAACAACAAAACGATGTGCACAGAAGCGTTTTCTCTGAATGCAGGTTCTCTTATAAACGTGGGAGGATGGACTTTTTGGGATTTGGAAATGTAAAGGTTTCAGTTCTTAGCCTGCCATATATTTAGACATTAAATAATCACTTACTGTAAATAAATTAGATTCCCTTACCCCCAGTTTTCTTCTCTTTGCTGCCATAAAGCCATAATCCTGTTAAACTGCAGAGCTCAGTTAAAGTTCGTCTGCCAAGTATTTATGGACAGTGCTTTTATTTTGAGCAGCTAAAACAACCAAATGATTACAAAAAGATTTCAATTTAGAAAGGAAAAGCACCGAATCTTTACATCTGACAAGCCAGAACCTCATTTTTTTTTGAAAACCTGACTCAGAGTGTAAAGTTACTGTGAGGAGTTTTTAGCAGCTGGTTATGAAAGAGACTGACATGAACACTGACGTCTCTTCACGAGTCAATCAGCGAGAAGATTTACCTGATCCACTGCGGTCACCAGGTCGGTGTAGGAAGAAGTGATTAAACTACCAAAGACAGACTTTGTTTACATTTCCCACGGGAAAGACTCCCACAGTGAGTGACATGTTGGACTTTCAAAATAAAAGAGGATGAGATTCGATTGTCTGAAACCACGTCTTACTCATGAACAGGACGACTTTGTCCACAGATGGCGCTAAAACTGACCCGACATGAAAGTTCCTCATGGAAGCTTTACATGTCCAGTTCTACCTTCAGATATGCATGTTGTGTTGAGTTGTTAAATCAGATTTTTGAGTAGCACTAAAGTCAAACAGCTCAAAGGAACGGTAACAGAGGTCAATGTGTGATGTCATAAGGTGGATATTATTTTGGACTCGTCAGCTGAGCTGTCGGAGAGTTTGTTAAAGTGAAATGAGACATTCAAAGATGCAGCAGTCTCCTTCTTTTACATCACTGAGACTACAGGGAGACGCTGAGGACCGCTATCTACGGTGAGCCGGAAGGGACAAAATAACATGAGATGAATTTACTAGATAATGCAAAAAATGATTACATATCATCTTTTGTAACTTATTGAAAATACATTTCCTCAGACGGTAACGGATCGTCTCGACACCTGAGAGGAGATAATCGACTCAAATATAAATTGACGTCACTGATGGGCGGTAATTTCTCACACAGGGTTTGGCTAATCTCATGGTCACCCACCTGGGGTATTTTCGGGGGGATTAGCGGAAGCGTAGCAGGAATCTTGCTGGGTCATTGAGTCTCCTCCGCCCTCGCAGCAGCACAAACACCTGATGCATTCAGGCTGTGCTAAACTGGTCACCACACGCCCCATTAGATCAATGTAATGGGAGGTGGATCACAGACCTACTGCTTTACAGGCCAGGTGTGATTTAGTGTGTGTGAGCTTCCAACACACACTAATACTGTTGCACTGGGATGACCACGTTTATTTGCTTTAATTGCAGATTTCACCTGAATTTTAAGCACCAATTATGTAACATAATTTAGCAGATTTATTCATTAACTTTTCTTTACAGATTTATTTTTGGGGCTTTTTGCTTTTATTTTGAAAGGACAGGATATGCTGGACAGAAGCCACAAGTTGGGCTGAAGCCTGGGCCATCCGCTCGGAGGACTAAAGACTTCGTACAGGGGGTGCAACCCAACCGCTAGGCCATCAGCGACCCTCTTAATGATCTTTAATAATACAAATGCTCCTCCCTCCCCTCTGTGACCAGGAGGACGCTCCTGTTTTCTTACCTGTGTGCGGTTGAAGGCCACACGGGCGAACACGGCCTGGGACACGCTGGCTCTTTTCAGCTCGTCTCTGACCTGCTGGTAAATCTCAGACGAGACCTCTGCGGCGGACGGGTTGCTTCCAGGATGGTCGCCGATTTTGGACGACCCCCGCGGAATGGGCGGGTGGTTGAGAAACTGCTGGTTGAGGGCCTGCGGGTGCTGATGGGCCAGCAGGCGGCCTACAGCTAGCTGCTGGTTGATGAGGTGGGCCATGGCGAGCTGCTGGCGGACCATCTGTGGAGTGAGTTGAGGGGAGAGGATCCCACCTGGACCCAGCAGGGGCTGCAGAGCACCGGGCAGGGGCGGAGGAGGCGGGGGAGGCACCTGGCCTGTGCGGAGAGGAGGGCTGTGGTGGAGGGGGCCGTGAGGTGAATGCTGCTGCTGGGGAGGAGGGGGCTGCTGAGGAGGCTGGGAGGGTGTCTGGGGGTCTCCTGATCCCCCCTTCAGGAGGGGACTGCCACCCCCAAGGTGATTGAGCTGAGCCAAGCCGGCCAGGTGAGGAGGGGGTCTCTGGCCAAGGATGCAGAAGTCGGCCATGTTGTCTCTCTCTACTGGAAAGAGAAGGGACAGTCAGGCGGGTGAAACGAAACGCTTCACATCAAAAAGAGGCGGAGCTACGAAGCAGATTCTTACTTTTGATGTCAGAGGGATCTCGCCCCGACCACATCTTCTCCAGGTAATCTCCTGCTCAACAACACAAACGCAATCCATGAGGGGCATGCTGAGGAAAGGTCGTCATGACAACCACGACTACACCTCGAGTTTCGTACATGACCTTTGTAAATGTTTATCTAAATACAGTGCAGAATCAAAAGGTCAGGGGTCAAGTTTTCTTGTGGGCTGCAGGGAGGTGCAGTGGTTAGTATCACCTTGAGAGTTAGCATGTTCTCCCTGTGCGTGTTCTTTCTCTCTGCGTACTTTAGCTTTCTCCCACAGTACAGAACAGTCCAGATTTCTTAGTTTGACCCTTTTTAATAACATTCAAACAAGTTGGACCGTCCGCGAGCTTACCTTTGATTTTCTTGTATTTTTTATACCAGCGACCAAACTCCTGACATTTGGCAGTGGAGACGTTGGCATAGTAAGAACTATTCACTATGGAGGAAATCATACTCTGAGAGAGCAAGAGAGAGAGAGAGACACACGGGGAGAGATAATTAATAACCTACATGATATGAAATGCTTACACTCACGCAACAACCACATGGCATGCTCAAGTAAACACACACACACACGCACACACGCACACACACACACACACACACACACACACACACACACACACACTCTCTCTCACACACACACACTCACAATAGGAACAGACAAACATTAATCATGATTGGAAGCCACCCATGGAAACTCGAGCCAGTGCAGCGCAGAGAGGAATCTCCAGCCACACACACATATGCTTGCAATTGATTCTGCGATCAACACCCCCCCCTCCAGAGCTCCATTTAAACACACACACACACATGCACACACACACACACACACACACACACACGCGCACACACACACACACTCACACACACATAAATCTCATACAGCAGTTATTATGAGACAGGAGAGAGGGGGAAACATGCAGCTGTGGAGTTGAACACGATGGAGGAGACTGTGCTTAATTTCATGGGGTGGAGTTTGATTAAAATGTTACACTAATCAATAAAATGCATGTAGGATTCATCCTGAATATCTCCCTGCTCAACTGGATCGCACATGAGCCTGCTTATCCAAAACATTTGTCGAATATCATGTGACCTTTTTAGCAGCATGCTACACCTACATAGTCTAAATCTGAAACTCACAGCCCCTGACTAAAGATCATATCACGGACGAGCGCGGTCGCCCGCTGTGGATATTGTTTAGCAGCAGCCGGTTGTTGTTACCTGTGACAGAGGACACTCTTTGGCCAGAGTGCTTTGGTTCATTTCCTTCAGCAGCTCTTTGAGAGCGTTTCTCACCGTCGCGTGGTTCCACTGCTCGCAGGGAAGGTCCTCCAGCTTCGAGAAACTACGAGACAAAAACCAACACACGAGTCAAAAACAACTTTACATAATTAAGCAAAGAGATAAATGGACTAAGGACACATTGTTATTGTCCTTTTATTGTCAATTTGTTATCATTAAAGACAGAGTCAGCAGCTTCTTCCTTCAAAATAAAATGCAGACTTCTCCTAAAGTAAAGCTGCTCCATCGTCCCTTCTGGGCCTCCGTACATGTGTGGTGGTGACTGTGTCTGCAGAGACCCTGTCCTCTGACTGGATTTTACTGGGAGCTGGTGTGTTTCCTCCAGCCAATGACAGTGCAGCAGGTGAGTTTAGGAGTGGATACAATTCAGCGATTGGACGCAGCGTAGCGGCAAAGAAGTGAAAATATAAATCACAGTGAGGAGAAACACCAAGCTCGTTCTAAAACCTGAGGGTGAACCTTGAGTTGGCTTTTACTCATGGACGTGGAGTTGGTCTGCTTCCTGTTGGACAAGGTGACAAACACCGGCGGTTGGCTTGTGCTAGCGTGCGTTAGCTTGCAGTGTAGGTACAAGCAGTAAACATACACACTACGTCCTGCAGTGGGCGGAGCTTCTTGGGGTTGTCTTTCAACCGGAAGGCCAGCGGTTCGATCCCCAGCTCCTGCAGCCACATGTCCGATGTGTCCTTTAGGAAGACATTTATCCCAAACATGACCCCGCTGCTTTGTCGGCGGTTTGTAAATGTGTATGAATGCATGACTTAATACTGATGTCTCTTTACACAGCAGCCTCTACCATCAGAGTGTGAATCCCTTTGAGTAGTCAGAAGACTAGAAAATAAATATACACGCTCAAGTCCATTTACATATTGAGCCCACAAGCTTGAGAATGATAATAATCTTTAGATTTTATTTGCTTCCTTTCACTTTAAAACGTCTCGTTAAATTCATGTATCATTCAAACATCTTTCATTAATCTTTTTCCTCAAACCACCACTTCCTGTATCGACCTATCTCTCCACCATCGTCCTGCTTTTATGTCATTTTAACCTCAAATAAATCACTTTGTCTCCGGGTGCGCCAAAGCTCTTCCATCACCATGGATACACACACAAACACGTAAACAAACCTGGCTGCTTCGTGCCAAGACAATAACAATAATAACTCTCTCATCTGGAGTTTATCTGTTTTTATCCGTCCATCAGGATCCTGCTTCACGTATTCGGGGGGGAACGAGGAGTGCCTGGCAGACGGCGGCTCCATAACGGAGACAGATAATAGATAAATCCCCACCGGGCTGCTTAACTGAAGCTTCATCATTTCAATATTCCTGCTCCTTTCTTTCATAGATATGGTGAATTCTTAAAGTGCGATTATTTGCAGTGACATCAGCTGCCCCGTGGGCCGAACCGCTGACTCAGTCGAACCGCAAACAGCCATAAAACACGGACGTGCAGCCTTTCTAATGATGTTTGTCAGATTAAAAGGGAGGAGGATTGATGAGTAAACATTTCTGCTTTCTCCCTCTGACATGCAATGCATCATTTCTCAGAGAAACGTCATGATCTGTGAGCTGTGAGACCGGACCTTTGTAGCTGGATGCGTAGCGTGACCATGTGGTAGACCTCCATCAGCATGTCGGCGACCGTCGCTTCAGGCGCGTCAGTCAGGAAGTGGATGGGCAGAGGGTTCCACCGTCCCACCTTGATGATGCCTGAAGAGAGACACGAAAGAATGATTCACATGATCAGTTTTAGGTCAACAAAAATACGACCAGAGTAAAAAGTAGAAAGTACATCATGATCGACTCGAGTAGAAGCCGGTGTCCTAGCATGTCTCTGACATTCACACAAGAAGCTGGACTAGAGGAAATATCAGAGCAGTTTGCAAACAAGTGGCTGAAGACGCTCACAGAGTCAGATATTACTGAACCTTGTCAGTCGACGTGGTTCTTTGGCTTTCTCACCCGGGCTTTGCAGAAGCCGGAGAAAAAGCTGTGAGCTTCTGCTTGTCAACAAATACACGTTGTCGATGAGGGGGGAGGGGATACAGACCTATGTGTGCTTTACGACGGTGCAGTTACACACAAAGACCTTCAGTGGGCGCCAAAGCGCACGTAACCAAATTCATACATGTTGCCGCATTGACAAAAAACGCGGCGTTTCCTGAACAGTAATAGAGAACAGTGACTGCCTGAAAGTCATCCCAACACCTTTGACCTTTCACCTTACCAGCAACCTGAACAATAACGCTCAGGTGTTTTAAGTCCCTGATGTTCAGGTACACACACTCGCACTGTCACACACACACAAACACACTCGCATCATCTCACACACACACTCACTGTCACACACACACTGACACAAACTCGCTCAGAGGTTCTTCATGTGGACCGGCTTGAGCTGTGAAAACTAAACAAAGATAATCGCATTACTATCCTCTAAATGAGATCCAGACAGGTCCTGAGAAGTTGCACCACCCCCCCCCCCCCTTTGTATCTCCCTCTCTCCTGTTCTTCATATTTCTCTCGTCCTCTCGCTCTGATCACTCTCTCCCTCTCTCTTTTTGTTCTTTTCCTGTTTGTTTATATCGAGCTTCTATCTCTGATTCCCATCAGAACGAAGACCCATGTTTGTTATTATCTGTTCATATGTGGGGGATCGGGGGGGGGGCAGCGAATGAACAGGATGCCCACACCCTACAGTCACACACACACACACACACACACACACACACACACACACACACACACACACACACACACACACACACACACACACACAGGTCATCCAGGTCGTATAAAGTGATGTCTTTAAATCAAAGCTTTGTTTCTCGTCTGTTAAAAGTCGGAAACATCCAGTTAAAGGAATAAAGATTTAAAAATATGACACCTTTTTATTTATTCTTCAGAAACGTTTTGTTTTGGGACAGAAATAATGGGATGCAGGAAAATTGTTTTCAGGTATTTATATCATTAATTTAAATATTTGCAAGAATAAAATGTAAATTTCACATATAAAACTACACCCTAGTGGATGATAATTTACTGTATTTAAGTCACTAATATATTAATTTGCAGCCTTGAGATCATATTTTTCTGCTCGTAGCTTCTTTATCAAAATAAATTCCACAGATCTTTGAAAGTTAACTTTCTAGCTTTGGGTTGTAAAAAGTTCTTTAAAGTTCTGTGACATTATTCTGTGATTTAAGTTGAATATTTCACACATATTTCACACATGACAACGACAACTTCCTGTGTAAAAGACTTTTGTACGGGAAAAAATTATTAAGAGCGTTTAGCAAAGATGGAAAAAAATACTCAGGTCAGAGGGAAACACTCGAGCCCATCACGCCTTGCTTTTCATTCTCTCACACACACACAAACACACACACACACAAAGAAACAGTTTTTTTTCTCCTTCTGAAAATCTCCAGCGTGCAGCATCTGAGAAAAATAAGCCATAACAATCTCGTTAATGCCAAGTTGGGTGGAAGCAAACGCGTGAATAAGCAGACAAACACAAACTCACAGAGGACACATGACAGCACACAGAGAGGCCGACATGTACCAGCTCTCATGCAAACACACACACATACACACACTCACACACACACACACACACTCACACGCTCACAGTGTGACGGTAAATGCATTAATAATTGATTCATCATTTTTTGGTGCGCTGTTCGATGCTCTGCTTCTCGTCCACATTTAAAAGTAGAAATCATTGTTCCCATTTCCACATTAAAATTCCACCTCCCACAGACGCGCCTTCATGTGGCCGGCTGGTGGCTTGGCTCATGTCTGAGTGTGCTCATCCGCACAAAAACACAAACACACACACACTGGAGTCTCAGCTCATCAACACTCACGCAGGCCTGCATGCATGAATGCCTGCGCGCACACACACACACGCGCGCGCGCGTACACACACGCACACACACACACACTCACACACACACAGTAATCCCATTGTCCCGTGTTAGAGTAAGTCCTAATGGTCGTAGCAGCCTGCACACGCATGCAGGGCTTCTTCCAAACGGGTTCCAGGTTCCACCCCTGGAACACACTGAGGGAAACCCCATGCATCTGACTCACCCCTGCCACCCATGGTTGCACCCTGTGGTGCGCCTGTCATGCTCTCACTTCAGGGAGGGCTTTCCTCTGCGAAACCGTTTTTTTTGTGAAGATTCTGGGCTGATTTTATTTTATTTCTCGACGTGCAGAAACAAGATCTGCTATTTTTATTCTGATGATATTTACTGAGAAGTTTGATCTTTTTTAAACAGGACTATCAGGGGTGTGGAGAACATTCACTCAAGGACTGATCGAAATTAGGATAATTGACTTCTTATTTCTGCAACTATAGCTTTGTGATTTTTACCCCACTGCATTTACAGCTTTAGATACTGTTTACTTTTCAGGTTTAACATATAAAATATATTATTTTAAAATACTTGGGGCCTTTACAGATGTTGGGGTGGAGGTGGAGTTTAGCGAGGGTGCAGTGCCAGGTCAGAGCTGGTGATGAGAGAGAGAGCGGCGATGCTGCAGCTTAAATAAACTGCTAATTGGAAAGATGTGTTTCACATGTCAGGTGTTAAATCAGTGCAGCTCCAGTTGACCGCCTGAACGAGCTCGCAGGCGTCGCCTCTTCTAGTTGGGCTGGTTTTAGGAAGGTAACAGTTGCTATGGACGCAGCTCTAACTGTAAATAACAACAGAATATTTGTTTACATCAGAAACTACATTATTTTAAATCTGTATTTTCTCTCAAATGATTGATTTCCTGAGTAAGTTAGACCCCGACCCCACTCATCCTGTCGGCCATTTTTACTCAGTATTATCCCATACTCCCTTTACGTGTAGAATCTGTCGACATAGATCAGCCTTTCATGTGTGGACGATGCTGAAAATAAAACAACAGCCCGACTCTGATCTGCAGAAGGCTTCAAATCAGACGTCCAGGAAATAGCAGTGACCCTTTGTGGCCTGTTAGACGTGGCACTGCAACAATGCAACGACTCCCTCCCTCTCTCTCTCTCCCTCCCTCTCTCCCTCTCTCTCACTGACCACTGTTAACCGTTCACCGAGCAAAGCCGTAAAGTACAGGTCTGCTCCCATCTATTCTATAAAAGCCTTCAGACCCTTATAATTGAAATAAACAATATCTCCCAGTTAATTACTGGGCTGAGCTAATTAAAGAAAGGCCGTGGTCCTCGGCGGGGACTTTAAATACACCGCTGGGACACAAGAATGCAGGACACAATTCAAACAGGCAGAAAATAGCCGGGACTCTGTGTAATTTTGGTCGTGGACCGCAGGGGAAAAAATGTATAATTTAAGCCAGAAATTATTCATTTAACATAAACGCTTGTTTTAAAAACAAAAAGTATTCATTTGAGAGGAGCTGGGGGGAAGGCCGTGTGTTTTGTCTGTGATAATGCATGACAACACGGGATTCTACGCCCAGTATGTGAACTTCAAGCATGTGCACATACATCGTAGCACAGGTTAAATCGAGTTTACGAGTGTGTGAGTGTGTTCTTGTCATTCCTGGGACGTTTTGTTTGTGCGGAGCTGCGACGTCCCGTTCGGTCTCGTCTTTGAAGCCCCTGCTGTGGTGTGTTTTTTTAGGGAGGGGAGTGCATTGATGTGGACAGGGGACCAATGTGGCTCGCTGTTTTCTACATACACACGCACGCGCGCACACACACACACACACACACACACACACACACACACACACACACACACACACACACACACACACACACACACACACACACACACACACACACACACACACTGATGAGACAGACAGAGAGAGGGCGAGAGAGACCTCCCCTGATGTTTGGCAAAAACACAGAGGCTAAAAGTGCTACTAATGGCATTCATGTGCAGACCGTAACAAACACTCCCCGTACTATTTTAGTGTTTAATTTAAGGCCTTCACTGCATCTGTGTGCTGTTTATTACTCCGACAGGCTGTTGATGGCAGACCTAAATCTTAAAACCAAAGTAGACACAAAAGATCTGCAACTACAACTAGCGGCAACAAATACTGGAAATAACATAAATATGAAGCTGAACTGTCATTAAACTGAGCTGCAAGAGAACAATAAAATCAAAATTGCGATGAGACTGCCTCAGTTAAACCTTTAAGCGTCAATAATTCAAAACCATTCAATTCATTTTCTTCTGCTTAGCAAGACCTGCTAAGCACGTTGCCCCAGACGTCCCTCTCCCCAGCAACATTTTCCACCTTCTCCTGGGGTGTCCCAAGGCGTTACCAGGCCAGAAGGGATATGTCATCCCTCCAGCGAGCTCTGGGTCTACCCCGGGGTCTCCTCCCAGCTGAACGTGCCCAGAAGACCTCCAGAGGGAGGCGACCAGGAGGCATCCGGATCAGATGCCCGAAATTCAAAACACATCATAAAAACCATTAAACGCCTTTAAAACACCATGATGCACTTTGTATTTCTGGATCTTCTTTAAATCAAGACAGATTTAAAGAACGTGTCAGACGCACTCTCAAGAACACGAGATGCACGGCTTGGTTTACAAAGAGGAGGAGGAGGAGGAGTCTCCATTTATGGTGACTGTTTCTGTGTTAATCTCACTACGACATGTATGAGGTCTTTTCTACATCACAAAAACAACAGTAGAAAACATAATTCAGACAACTGAGGCGAGCAGTAAGGAGTATAAAGCAGAGAAACTCCGCTCAATGAGAACAACGTCATCCCCATGCCCACTCGCTCTCCACCAATGTTCCGGACTATTACCTGCTGTGTTCATACATCCACTCACTCTGACTTGGCACAGTTTTTATCGGGGGTGGGCTGCAGGTATACGTCTGCATACAATAGGTTTGAACAGATTTGCATGCACATATCCACGTCTCTGAACAATGTTGGGAAATTTTCACAACTACAGTAGAAGAGTGGAAGAGGCTTGATTTGCAAAGACGTATCAGCTAGATCCTGCAGTCTTTATGCTAAGCTAGGCTAAACTACTTTGCTGTAGTGTTTAGCGTCACAGATGTGTGTGCACAATCCTTAGGCTGATTGTCATTGCAAGGACAGGAGGTTAAATCATGAGTTTGGACGCCTTGAAGCTCAAATCAAACTCTGACAACCCTCCCAGATTCTGTCTGTGTTCACTCTCAGAAATGTTGCACTGGATGCACATGGCATTTAAATTGTAATTGCAAGCTCGATGTGCACAAACTCAAACATATGACAGGTTTGAGATGAGAGTCAGGACGCTTAAGAGAAAGCAGAGAGGTGCAGGTCAAGAGTACACGCTCTGCTTCAGGTGGGCTGGAGGTCTGATAAGAGCTGCTGGCCTTGAGGCTGTAAAAAGGGATTACCTGTGACTGTTTATGGGACGAGAGAACACACACACACTCACACACACATGCACGCTCTTCGTTCTGCAGCGGTAATTCAAAATAGACCTGCTCGATCGCACACACACACACACACACAAACACACACACACACACACACACACACAGACACACAAACAGTGCAGCCAGATCTCTAACAGATGGGGATCTCCCACCGCCTTCGCTGTGTTGCGATACTCGTGTTGCTTACTGTTGTTTCCATTTTACATCGGTGTGAGGCAACTTCCCCAGATGGCATTTTCTGCATAGTTGAGAAAAGACAGCAGTAAACGACACTGTCCTGCTGCAGATGACTACCATGTGTGCGACAATAAATTACAGAGTTTTTCTTTTCCTCTGCTTCATAAACATTCTCACACATACTGTACACACAGAAACACACACACACACACACACACACACACACACACACACTCACTCTCACAGTGTATTTTGGTCTTGCGGAGACATTCCTGTCCGGCTCTTTGTTGTCGTGTCTTTAATGAATTTTACAGGCTCTGTCTGTGTCTTAGTTGTGTTTTTGAAACATTCTTGTCCTTATTGCCGCTGTGACAGTTTGGTGTCGGCTCTAAATAGTCGACCTCACATCCAGATTTCTTCTCAGGACGCCAAGCGGAGTCTCCTCTCAGAGATCCTTCTGATCCTGTGCGGTGTTTAATTCTCAGTCAGAGGCTCCGAAGTTTGCACAGAGCGAGACGTGCGGTGGGTGGAAAAAATCACGACTGTCATTAATGGCATCGAGTAAACACTCCTCATACAAACAAAAGCGGCGCCTGAGATGTTTAAATGATAGCATAGATACAGGGTTTAGAAAATACTGTTTATATATATTTCTCTGCATCACAGTTGATTGAAGCTGCAGCATGGTGACAAAGCTCTTTTCTTTTTTTTTTGTGGTGTCGGTTCCCAAACAAACATTTGTGTCACCACTTCAAAGATCCTCGTCATGAACTTTCCATCTGAAGTTTGATTTTAAAGATAGAGCACTTCAGGGGCGACTTTAGCCTCAGGACTTTACGGGGGATCAGCCCCTTGTGCCCCTTGTGACATGGGGCACAGATGGCCTAGTGGTTAGGTCACGCCCCATGTAGGGAGGGGAAAGTCCTCCAGGTGGGCGGCCGGGTTCAAATCCAACCTGTGAATCCTTTCCTGCATGCCATTCTCTCTCTCTCTTTCTCTCTCTCTCTCTCTCTCTATACACAGTTTTTAAACTATCATGTCTACGTATGTTAGCCTCCTAGCTTAACATAAAGCCTGGGGACATGGGTGAATGCTAGCCTGGCTCTAACAGGAAGTTGTAAACTCTGTCTACCAGCTCCTCTAAATATGATTAATTTACGCAGACACAGCCAGGCTAACACTCTCCCCCTGTGTACAGCCTAGATGCTAAGCTAAGCAAACAGGCTGTACCTGCATACAGTCATAGAAAAACAAGCTAGTGATCGTTATCTTCTCTTTTAGCTCCCACCAAACCTTTTTACCTGTTCCCAATCTTGATTTTTCAATGCTAAGCGAAGCTAAGCTAGCAGGCGTTAGCTTCATATTTTGAGGTGCAAATGTTCCCGTCTGAAGAGCAAATAAGCTGCTTCCCAAAATGTCCCATCCTGACTCGTCTTTTAAGAATGCAGCTGCAGATTTAAAAGCACAATCCTGAGGTCAGATGTTTCTGCAAAAAAATGAAACTTTAAAAAAATCATGAGTCAGGAGCAGCCTGAGGCTCTCCGCACATCACATGGTGAGTCAAAACTTCTCTAATACTCACAACTTTTGCTTCAAAGTTTGAAATGTATCATTATATCCCGGTCTGTGTGAGATGCTTTAATGTAGGTATTCACGAGGGTATATTTTCAGATGCTTTAAGGACTCGGCTTTACAGCTTAGGGTGGCAAGAATACGTATGTTCGAGCCTGAAGAGAAATCTTTCAAACGACAGGAAACATGTGAAGACAAAAGCGTTATGGCAGCGCAGGCGTTTGCAGCATCTCTCAGACTGACCGTGGGCCTGTGCGGCCGAGCTGTGGGAGTATCCGAGGGCGAGCAGAGCTGTCTCCACCAGCTGAGAGAAGAGGATATCCTTCCTGACCAGGACAAACTCAGCGTGCTCCTCTCTGCCATCACACCCGTCTGTCGGCATCCCTCCGTCCGACTGCTCCACCACGCAGAAGACTGGAATCATCAGACCTGCGAGAGAGAGAGAGAGAGAGAGAGAGAGAAGGATCTTTAATGTCTTACAGCCTTTCAATTGTTTTGAAATGAGCCGGCCTTTCCGTCTATGTAAACACGGCTCTGACAACAACACATCCAGCGGGACTCGAGCTTCTCACTTATTATAGTCATGACTCAGAGACACATTTACACAGGATAGACTGGATTTCGGATATATTTATGTGGAACATGTCACACATTCTTCCTTTAAAAGACGGAGGGATGAACCAACTGCAAAAGAGCTGCTCACAGTCCTCTCCAGACTTCCAGGTATTTAATCTAACAGCCGATTACATACGAAGCCATAATAAAAACAGTTATGCAAATACTATTCAAATAAACACAGCTGCACTAAAGCGGCTGTACTGATAAAAATGTTTCCTTTAAGAGGAGATTTAAAGAAAAATGATGGAAACTGTGAATTAACGGAGGGATTCTGAATCTTCCTCAGAGATACAAATTCAAACCAGGTGAGAAACAAACCAGATCCTCCAAGAAACCTTTAGTGTGCATGAAGCACGCTGCAGCTCTCCCAACACACACACACACACACCCACGCGCGCACACACATAAAAAGTCTTTGCGTAACTCTCTGCCCTGCAGCACATGTGGAAGATAAAAGTTATAACAATTATTTTTAATGGTTAAATGCAGAGAAATTTGGACATTATTGTGGGCTCAGACTCATCCCTCAGTCAGCCGTGTGTTTTATCGGGGTTGGGTTTTTCGGCGTGCGGTTATCTAACCTAAATGACTAAATTGGTCGTTGTCATTGACTTCAAAACAGTTCTCCTCTCTCTCTCTCTCTGTGCCTTCCCCGAAACAGTGACAGCGATTATTCATGTATTCATTGTTCTGATGTGCCACAGCTAAGAGTGAGTCAGAGAAAACTGAAGAGGATGAAACGTTCTTCTTTGTTGAAATGTCGGCACACTGAAAATAAGAGCTTCTGAAACTTCTTCTTCTCAAACAGATAACAGTCACACATTCATGAATGCTCCTTATAAGGAAAATATCAGTTAAAGGTTCAATATGTTGAATTTTATTCCAACGTTTACACAGGAAACTGACCTGAAATAGCAGAGGGAACTCCCATGATTCCCCACACATTGTGCCTTTTAAGTGATTGAACAAGCAGCGGGAGTAACTTGGGGTTGAGTGTTAAGGCCCTGACGCACCAAGCAGATGGCAAAGAACTAGTGTGGCATCGCCTCAAGTCGCCTTTTGTCTTGGCCAAAAAGTTGCACCAGAACACACCGCAAAGACTACAGCCGACGGCCAACCACCATCGTATTGTTTACCATCAGCGTAACTAACTGAAACACATGATGATGTCAAACTGCTGCAATGTGCCCTCACCTGTACGACTGGCTCAACATTATTTAAAAGAGAGACTGAGCTTTTTAGTGAACACATTCATTTGTTCCCGCCGAGTGTTTTCAGTTTCTGGTGACTTGAAGTATCCTCCGTGTCCTCCTGGCTCTGCGCTGTAATATCAATCCTTCCTCTTCAATCTCCGCCTTTTTCCTGAAAGGCTTTTGGTTTTGGGCCACCTGTCAACTGCCAATTAATTAGAGCTCTCTGAAGAAATGATGGACTGAGAGCATTAGGCAGCGTCCCAGCACTAATAACACAGGGCACGGATACACAACACACACATATGCCTCCTGTTTCCCAGCATGCACACACACACACACACACACACACACACACACACACACACTCACACACTCACACACACACACCTCAGATCCATCCCACCCGTTGTTTTAATCAGTCAATTCCTCTATTTCTATTTCCTCCTCATTAATCACTCGGCTCCCAGTCCTCCAGGCTCTCATGGAGTGAATTACACACTGGAGCACCGCGCCAATTCAAGTAAGTGAATTTCCCCCAACAGGGAAATATAACTGTCAACACAGAGCGGCTCCCTCCGACCAGCTCTCTCTCTCTCTCTCTCTCTCTCTCTCTCTCTCTCTCTCTCTCTCTCGCTCTCTCTCTCTCTCTCATCCTGTGATCACCCGCCCGCTCACTGTATGATCTGGTTTGGATGATGTGATGTTTCCTCAAACCTCTAATCCCTCTAATATGTATGGGGATGAGTGAACGGGGTATTTAAATAAGAAATGTGTGTGTGTGGAGTGTAAGAGTGTGTGTGTGTGTGTGTGTGTGTGTGTGTGTGTGTGTGTGTGTGTGTGTGTGTGTGTGTGTGTGTGTGTGTGGAGTGTAAGTGTGTGTGTGTCTGTGTGTGTGTGGAGTGTAAGTGGGTGTGTATTTTGGCAGCGTTTCTTGGGTGTGAGTGTCACAGCGTAGAAGTGTGTGAATGTGGACATATGGGGTGTGTGTGAGAATGTAAAGCTGTGTGTTTGGGTTTGAATGCTGCTCTCTATTTGTGTCTGTGCGTGTGGCCCCCTCCTCCTGGAAGCAGTGTGTGGTTTTGGAGGAGACATGTCGAGTTTCCGTTCTTCAAAGACAACCCGTCATTATTACACGCCGACCATCCGTTCAGAACAGGAAACCCCGTCCCCCTTTTCCTCCTTCCTCTCTCAGCCCCGCGCTCAAAACCTCTTTGTCACTTTTCTCTCTCACAGAAACTTTCTTCTTCTTCCTCTTTTTTTCTTCTTCTTCAAGCTCAGTCCTCCTCTGAATATTCATTCTTCTCTCCTTTCAGTGGTCTAATCCTTGTTGATTATCTATCCCTGCTAACTCTTCCAAAACCACAAATAGGTCCAAACTAAAGTTTTCCTGATTGAAATTCCAGTATCAGAAACGCCTCATATACGGCCTTCTGTGTTATTAACATGGAGGTATAAAGGCTACGACTGCAAACTACTGTTTTAGAGCAGCAATGAAGAACTTATCTCTGGTTATTTGTCACATGCATGAAATAAACAACAGCATATCTGAGAGGCCGAGAGCTGAGCTGCCGCTAAAGTTAGCTTAGCTCTGTTTACAGGCGCTCTGCTGTTTTTGTTGTTTTTAAAAGATTGATTTTGGGGTTTTTCATGCCTCTATTCTAGAGACTGGACAGTGGACAGAGTCAGAAACCAGGGACACATAGAGTGGGAAAGTAGCCACAGGCCGGACCCAAACCCAGGCCGCCCACTCCGAGGACCACAACCTATGTACACGCCCCAACCACCCGGCCACCATCGCCCCATGTGCTCTGCTGTTTTAAGGTAAGGACTCCTTTATCGTTAAGCTTCCTTAAGTTTTAAACGTGAGCTGCAGAAGTCTAAACCTAGAAATATTCAAGAAGAAATCTTTCAGATCTCCTCCAGAGTTGCAGAAAGAAATGGTGGGAGGAGAGAGTGAGGGATGATATGCAGAAAGGGCCGAGGTCAGAAACGAACCCACGGCCTCTGCGACAAAGGTTGCTGTACATGGGGCGCAAAACATAAATTCAGGCTAAACTGTTAAATTGTAAAGCATATGTGTTCTTTCTTGTTGTTCTTTTTTACAGTTAAAGGGAAACCCAGATTTTAGAATCACCCTGAGAAATGTCTGCTCAACATTTGGCAACAGAAAGCTCCACAGAGAGGGTTCAATGCATGCATGCACACACATAAACAAGAAACAACGTTCACAATGAATGCAGGGATCGATAACCCCGAGTGAGTTGTATAAATCTTGTTTATATGGAGCAATCTCCTTTATTTGGTGAGCCTGTATTATACAGTTCCCTCCTGACGTATAGATTAACAGAAACAGCTCGGCTCCTCCAGCAGTGCTGCTGCCGCGCTACAGACACACAGCGCCGATCCAAACGTAGCTCACGCTCAGGATGTGACTCTCTGCAGAGCCAACAGCTCACTCTCTCTGCTGCCAGAGAGCTCAACACCTGAGATTATTTAGTGGACCAGCAGGAGACTAGAGAATGATCTACACTGACAAATAAATCTAATAATTATCCTCCTCGTCTTAAAGGTCACATATTCTCCTCCTCTTCAACCAGTTTAAATAAGTCTCAGAGCTCCTCAAAACGTGTGTGAAGTTTCTTGTTCTAAATCCACTCTGATCCTAGATTTGATCATGCCTATAAACCCCTCTATTTCAACCCTGCTTAGAACAGACTGTTTCTGTGTCTGTACCTTTAAATGTAAATGAGCTGTGTCTAACCACGCCCCCTCTCTGGAAGGGCTTGGGTGTCTCTGGCTTTCTCCATGTCCTATTGTTTACAGTGAGAAGGCAGACTCAGAGGGCAGAACAAACACCTAGCTGTGGGAGTGTCACCCACGTGGGGGAGGGGTTACTGCCCTTTGTGATGTCATGAAGGGAAAATTTCCAAACGGCCTGTTTGAGCACACATTTTCTGAAAAGTGGAGCAGGCAAAAGATGGAGAGGATGGACTTTACCTCATCATTGGGGGGTTTATAGACAGACTAGAGACACATATTAGTGTCAGAGGAACATGGTGAAGTAGATATCGTGACATCCGCCATGACAGACACGGCATGTTTATCGTTGCCGTGGCAACACCGGATCTTACGTCAAAGACCGCTGCATAAGGAAGGTGGTGGAATTTGCAGACTGTGCATTTAAAAGGTACGTAATAACATTTTGTGATTATTTCACTGTCCTGACTCGGGATCGGCTGTTTTGTTTCATTCAGATGGTAATTTTGTTCCTTGTAAATTCATATTTTCATCAGACAATAAACAACAAAAATTTAATCTCCTGTCAAAGCCCACGTACATGTCTTTATAAGCCCATCTCTTACCTCCTAGGGGTCTCAGCGGCGCTCCATTATGACGTATTCTCTGCCCCGTGGGGCTCCCGTTGAGCTCCAGTCGGCCCTTCTTCCCTGGCGGTGGGAGTCCGCTGAGGTCCGGGCTGCCTCCCCTCCGCTCGGGACTGTCCTGGGTGATGGGACTCTCCCCTCCTCGCTCCATCCTCCTCCACACCCCCAGAGGAGTTCCAGCCAGAGAGAACGAGTCTGAAAGCAGGCGAAGGGATCAAATTAAGACAGGTGTGTGTCACTGAGTGCAGATAAAACGTTTACTGGATGTTGTTATATAAACATTATCAAAGTGTTTAAGAGCTAATGAACCGGTCATAGCCGAGGTCTCCGCACCAAAAAGCTTTATTGTTGTTTAAAAAAAAACTGATTTGAAACACATCAGTGAGCCACACTGTTGCACTGGATGACATGTTTCTTTAACACCATGAAAAAAACAATGTTGTTTATTTTGCCTGAATCCTTCACACACCCTGCTGCTGCCCCAAATAATCACTAGAGCACCAAATGAGGATCCATCCGCAGCGGGAAATAGTCCCCAACAAAAGCAGACTTTAGTCCTGCTTGATCCCGGAGTGGTTCAGGTTAGGATTTAGTCTTTTATGGATCTAAATGTTTGGGGCCCAGTCGTAAACACACATGTCTCCCATAATGTGAAAGTCTGAGGGTGAGAGCCAAAAAAGGGGTCCGAGACGTTGGAGAGTATCGAGAGTATTTTGGATGGGAGGAGATATACTTTAGGGGAAATTACTTTTACCCTCTGTTGTTGAGCACGCACAGGAGGCACACACAGGAGGACACACACATACATGCACAAACAGGATCCTGTGGACATGCACTGATAGAGAGATGAGGGGGGCGGGGGAAGGCTGCACTCGAGCAGTTGGAGGTTCAGTGCCACGCTCAAGGGCACCTGCAGGGCTCAGGAAGTGACCTGGCACCTCTCCAGTTACCAGACAAATTTCCAAACTTTGTCCGCACCAGGACTTGAACCAGCAGCCCTCCAGTTCCCGACCCGATTCCTTACAGATTGAGGGCGTGGCCACACTGGCTATCTGTACCGTGCCTTACTCAAGCCCCCTGCTGCGCCATTCCCAAGCTGGCCGGCACATCGGGGAACAACACAGAGAACATGACAGCTACTTTGTGGCTCATATTGACTCATTTTAGTCAGATACAGACATGAAACTCTGGATTTCTCCATAATGAAGGCTGTCAGCGTTGTGTACCACTGTGCTTGTGCTCGTGCATGAAGTGTAGCGTGCTGAAGCACACCTCTCCGAAGTGTGCCAAAGCCAAGGAAGTGTACCGTGCCTAAACACGGCACGGAGCGGTCACACTGGCCAAACGATCTGGACTTTAGGGTTGAAGGGTGCTTGGGATGGCCAGTGTGACCGCGCCCTAAGATACTGCCACCCCCAATGATACATAACACAATTGTTCAACTTTTATAAGCTCCATGTGAGGTAGCGGAGAGGCTGTCATAGGATATGAAGCCATGAAATCAAGGTTTGTCTTCCTTCCTGTTGCACCTTGAATTACAACCAGTCTCTGTTTGAAATGGCTTTGGGCCAGTTTAGGAATGACACTGATGGACGGACCGATCAATCGATCATTTGACCCCATCATGTCTCATCAAACAGATTACACAATCCGTCAATCTGCCATGGCAGATTGAGCAAAAGCAGCAGCCCGACATATTTTTAAAAAAGCACCAAGGTGGAATTCTTCCTTCCTTAGAGGTAAAAAAAGCGATTCATTATCTACAAGAGTCTTTTTCTATTATGGCTCTAGGCTGAAATGATGATTGGGACTTTCTTTATATGAAATACAAAATGAGCGACTGCGACAATCGCTCCTATAAAACCTTCTGTTTTCTGAGCTTCTGAGTTTGTCTAAAAGTCAGTTTCTGTGTCAAGACGCTCGATAAAAAGTGTCAAAAAAATGAGAGAAACTACAATGAATCACAATGAAAGGCTAATGTCTCATACCCAGTGGTAAAAAGAAGAATCTTCACATTTATTTATCACATCTGTACTCTATTCTTCTTCTTATTTAGGCTGCTTCGGTGTAAAACTACATCAGACCTCCTGCAGACATATGGAGATCCATATCCTGAATTTTAAAGAAGGGAGCTCGGGTGTGACATGTTGACACGTGTCGGGGGAAAAGGTTGATTGAGGCAATGTTGCAAGCTGACAAAAAATATAAAGGGATTGTTTGAATTCACAAGAATTGCTTGATCGTGAAATATAGGGGGGAAATACAGAATGAAATAGTCTTTGTTTGAAATGTTTGAGTATGTTCTCACATGCTCGAGCCAAAGCCCCAAACATGCACACACACACACACACACACACACACACACACACCGCTGAGAGTGTCGACGTTTGGGGCTTCTCTGATAAGAGAGCTTCAGCCAAACTACCAATACGGGTAATGTCACCAGAAACGCTGCCAGACCAGACAGGAAGGCGAGCCAACGTATCAAAGAGCCAGCTCATTTGGACCAAATGGACTTCTTTTATTTACATATGAGCCCCCGGACAATTTCTGTTGGCGTGTGTGACCCTCAGGGAAAAGAGAGCGAGATTAAAAAACTGACCGAGGAAAACACGGAATGATTTAAATTAAAGGATGGAAATGAAGTTAGAGAGCTAATTTCAGAGCGTGAAAGAAACACAGAGCGGTTCTGCAGAAATGCAGCAGAACAAATGATGCAGAATCTGCGCTGATAGTTTGTCTGTGGCTTGATTAGTTAACGCCTCCTCCTCCTCGCCTTCCCTCCGCCTCATTTAAAAAAAAAATATTTCTGCAGCTTTTACGGCTCCAGCTGTCGCAACTCCGAACAAAAGGCATTGTTTTTGTTGTTGTGGTGTCTCTCAGTCTTTCTCCATCTCTCCTCTACCTTCTTACACAACATCACAGCTGAAAAAAAAAAACACACCATCCACCGCCATCGCTCTAAATCTGAGACGCATTGCGAGCTCGGGGCGAAATGTCAAAATGTACAATAAATTAAAAACATTAGCTTTGGCGTGATTAAAAAGTGTGGGAGGCAAACAGGCCAAAAATGTAAGTGGCAGAGTTTAATAAAAGTGGGTTTAAGAAAAAAAGGAGTTCAAAGCAGCGGGGGCCATAACTCACGATGTGCTGAGAAAAAAGCAGGCTTTGTAAATAAATCCAACCACTAACAATGTTGTAGCGACAATAAAGAACAACCAAACGTAACAGAACATGGAGAGAAATTCACAGGGCTGATTTGGGCTGCAGATTACAGCCTGTGTGTGACTTCAGAGGCAGCTTTCTCTGCTTTTATTTGGAATAATCCTGCAGAGTCTCTATCACACACACAGGTCTTAACCTGCCGTCGCTCCCTGATGATCCCTATCACGACCCCGGCCTGCGACATCTCATCATCTAACCCCGAGCTTTCATCGACAGATAGTCACAGTTTCCCAGCATCGTCAGATAGTCACAGTTTCCCAGCATCGTCTCATCTCTGAACACGTCCTCAGACGCAGGAATACATTTTATTTTGTTCCAAGAGGAAATACGCCTTAATCTTAAAGGCTGCTGAAAGAAATGCAGAAGAAGAAGAGAAGTTCTGACACTTTTTTCAAGTGTGTTCCCATTTAAAGACGTGCAAAATATCACAGCAGGCGGTATAAAGAGGTTTAATCCAGCTCTGCTACATCAGTATGAGATTAACCAGAGTACAATCTAATATCTGAAAACAATCCACAGGCAACTTTCTCCCCGCTAAAAGGCCTGGCGAGAGATAAAATGTTGATTTGTTTAGGCTGAGACAGCATTTCCAGCATGGGTCCTCAGAGATGAACAAGGAGGTATATAAGTTTTTTAGCTTGATGCTAACGAGGCAGAGGACAGAGTCTCTGCAGACACGGTCACCACCAATCACATGCATGGAGGCCCAGAAGGGACGACGGAGCAGCTTTACTTTAGGAGAAGTCTGTATTTTATTTGTCCATCTTTAACATAACACCTTTAAACAGCGTGTGTGTGTGTGTGTGTGTGTGTGCGTGTGCGTGTGCGTGTGCGTGTGCGTGTGTGATGCACCCCACAGAAACCTCCTCCGTCACACCCTGATAAATACTCGTCTATTATCACGGGCGTGTTGAGCAACGACCATTTGTTCTGCGCAGCGTCTTTAGATAAATGGATATGACTGTATGCAGTTGATCCATGTTAATACCTCTGACACACACGACATTTATTGGCTCAGAAACACTGATATCAAACCGTGTGACGATTGTTATCGCCTGTTTCCTAAATCCTTCTGCAGCGTGCTCTTCGATAAGAGACAGCGTCGAAGCTGTTAATAAGGACGAGATAAGACGAGCTGTTGATTATCTGTTGTGGAGACGAGGAGCGAATGTAATGTCTCAGTGATAAGGAGAGGGTCATGACACATTTTTTACCAATTTATTGCCTCTCTTGGTAACAACACACCTCACAGAGAGAGAGAGAGAGAGAGTAATTAATTATTAAGGACTTTTTTCATTAACTTTAATCCTGTACTGACTGAGGCACCAGCAGAACAAACAGGTGAGCTTACTATATGATCAGACATTAAGGAAACATGCTGTGTTGAAGTGCTGGCTTCTCTGACAACAATGCAGCAGCCAGTATGTCCTCCTTCTAACTTTAGATTCTGGTCCTGAATGCTCTGGATTTGTTTGGACCAGAGAAGGTAGGCGGTTTTAAGGCACCTCCATAACTGGTCTCATATTTGCCAGATATGAGAGCAGTTATCAGGTCAAACCAACAGGTGTGGCAGCGATGGAAGCGGGCAAGAGAAGTCGTTCAGATAGAAGTGATTGTACCCGACCTAAAAAGCCTCTGCATGTTTCTAATAAGCTCCACGAGCAGAAACGTGCTCAAACTAGGATCAATATTGATCTAAATGGCTAAACACTGAAGCTTCAGTGTCCACCACATGACAAGCTGCGTGAGCATCGACTCTAGAGAGGAGGGGGCAGGGGGGAGACAGCTCTCTACAATGTTTAGAATATAGACTGCAGTACCCATTTGAAACACTAGGTGTCAGAGTTACATATTGCTCCTATAACGGCTCAGGACTCTCAGAGGGGCGTTCAATAAAACAGAAACTTCAGCGATAATAAAAAAACAAATCAAAGAGAATTTCACATTTTTAACTAATAAATTAAATAAAA